TTAAAAACATCCTTTTCCTAAAGACAAGACACTTACAACTCAATTTATAGTTTTGAAAATCGATTTGAAGTTTGGAACTAAGATATTTTAATGAGTTTTGCCATGCTTTTGGAATTTATTATTTAAACTTACAATCATACTTTACAGTAATTTTCAAATATTATAGAAATTCACTCTTAAACCTTAAAATTTAGACTTGTGGCAAATTTACAATTTTTAAGTAAATGCCAAGACTGCCATTTGATATGACTATATTGCATACAAATTGTTTAGACCCATATTAAATATGGCAATGTAGTTAATAACTTCTGTGCTCATTGCCATAAATCTGAGTTGTACTGTTGAAATTTAAACAACTTATAAATAATTTTATATTATATATTATTTATTAGTAATTAAAATTTGATTAAGTCATTGTTTATTATAATAGTATGATAATGGTATAGGTATAATAATAAAATAATCTTAAACAAATTAAACAGTTGTATTTAATCATATTTAAAAATTCATTATTAAATAAAGTAAAAATGACTACCTGTCTAATAAGTGAACTTATTTTGTGTATTAAAATAACAAAATATGAATCAAACACTATATAAAAACCATTACTTATAATTATCATGACCTTATGATGAGTATAATGTTATAAATTAAATTAAAATAATTTATAATTTTATAATTAATCACTTTCTTAGATTGTTATTAAACTATTATTAATTTCAGACACTTTTAAGTTTTATAAAACTATAAAGGCAGTATCCTAGAATAAGCTTTACTTCACACAGTAAATTAAGTCTTTTTAATTTATTGTGATTCAGGCTCTTCAGAAAATGCAAATTTCAAATTGATGTTTGATGATTTTATTTGAATTCTAGTTTTCTTTAAAACTATAATTCTTTAAATATCTACTTCTCCGTAAATTGTTTTATAAAGAATCTGTCTAGAATTCTGTTACTCTCTAATAATTTTAATATCTCTCCATAAAACAAGTTTATTTAAGTGTATTTATTAAAATTGTTACCAATATATCTTTACTCAATTACTTAAAATCTATAAATCTTTATGTGTAAGCTCATTTAATTTGAATAGTTTTCCAGTTTTTATGTTTGGATATTGTAGGCCATTGTAGGGAATATTATTACCTCCTCTAAGTAGCCTATTCTTTGTTTTCAATTGTAGAGTGTATCAGATCGCTAAATTTTGTGTGTGCTACTATCAAAATTTGTGGTGGCTGGGAATATCTAGATAGTTAATAGCGTATACAATTACAAATAATCGCGATTTATTCTTTTGTTGGCCTGAACAGTTATCTGAATAAAAATAGTATCTTTCTGAAGACAATTCTGTAGCGAGATTATTTAAATGCATGTAGATATTTGTTAGCACCTCTTTACCTTGATCTGCGTTCCAAAACAAACAATTTGCTTCATTTTAGCCAAACTTATAGCTATAGTTAGATTATGGGTGTAAATTTCTAGCATAATAAAAGTTGATACTTGCGGCTAGATTAATTAGAACACTTTAAAATCATAACAAGACACCATATACTTTTCGGTATTTTCTTTAGCCAGCTTCTTATCTTTTCTTTCAAACCTTGATAATTTGGTTTCATTTTATGTGCTTCAAGCTCAACGCTAAGTACGTTTTCAATATCAGAACTGTTATTGCCGTTCATAAAGCCTGGTCTTTTGGGTGCCGCCAGAAACCTATGTTAAACTTAGTGTTAACACATGTAGATGGACAAAGCATGACTGGTGATTTTATTATTTTCTCACATTCTAATATATAAATTTATACTGCCGATAAGTCAATGAACCATCTATATAAACTCTCTAGAAAGTTTGTTTACGTAAACTAATGATTCAATGCAGGAAAACTAAATGAGATTTTTAATTCCATTTAAGTTCCAAGATCTAATGATCTATGATTATCCATGTTCCCTCTTAAGTCATTTACTAATACACTGCTTTTTAAATGATTCTTATGATTTATCACTTATACATAATGATGCATAAACATTTTTGCATCTCTATACTACTATGTCATCTAATGGAGAAAATAAATTTGATAGCCTTTGTTCCTTCTTTAATATAATATTTATCCAAGTGTCACTAATGTGAAGTATACTTAGTATGTAAGCCCTCCTTGAAGTTAAATCCATTTTCAGGGAATATTTAATACATTTAACCGATCAGCTAATAATGAATAGTAGGGGCACATTTAAATTGCATTTATCAGACATCACAAAAGGTAATAGTTGCTTTGATTAATTGTTTCCACTATTACTATATAAACCTCCTAAATTTAGTTTAGTTTTCCATTCCTACTCCACTGTTTATATATTTTAATCTCTTTTTACTCTTTTATTAATTGGAGCAGCGTAACTGAAATAATGTGGTGGTATGTTTTAAGTTTAGAACTATATTTTGTTAAAATGTACTTAAGGTTCAGTTTGTGAACGTAAACATAACAGCTTCTTGTTACTTCGATCACAACTTGTATGCACCAATAAAATAATAATATAAAAAATGCATAACACTTTGAATTCAATTAATGTAAAAACGAATAAAAGAGAATTTTATTTTTGAAAATAACGATTTAATTGAAATTATTATATTTTCATGTAATACTATAGTACCTATAAAATTGTTGAAACAATTGGATATAATAGTATGTATAGATGGCACTTTTAATTATTGCGATAAACATTTTACTCAATTATATACAGTTCATTGGTTAAAAAATAATATTTATATTCCATTGATGTTTTGTTTTTTACCAGATAAAAAAATATACACTGAATTATTAAAAAAAAAATGAACGTAGTTAGAATAAATCTAAATAAGTTTGTTAGACTTTGAAATATCAATGCACCAAGCAATTAACATTATTTTTTTTTTTTGACAGTACAAATATAGGGATGCCGTTTCCCTTGAACAAAACTTGGTACAGTAAAATTCAAAGCTTAGGTTTTGCACAAGCATTTAATATTGCAAACGATGAATTAGGAAAGTGACTGGCATATAAATTTGGTTTACCATTTCTTAATCCAATAGAAGTTGGAACGTTTTCCTCTAGAGTTTGGACTAGTGTTAATTCTGATAGAAATCTTACTACAAATTCAATTCAAATTTTTGTCATCATCATCTTGATATATTTAAAATAATTGAAGTTTTACAAATATTTCAAAAAAATACATTAATAAAAATAAAAACATCAAATTTCCATACAACTCAAAAAATAAGTAAAAAATAAACGAAGAAAAACAAAATTATATTTATAATAAAATATCAGATTAATCCTTTAAAAAAATAACATAATAAATGTTACATATTATAATAATGACTAGGTGAAATTTTTGAGCTTTCGGAGTCACATAAAATTTAATTTGAATTATTATTATAATTAGTATTTAGTATTTTATATTTTATAATACTAATATAATATATACATACAAAATATAGACTTTAAATTAAATGTATAATATGTAGACTGGATTAATTAAAAATTGGATTAGAATTTTTTTTACAAAAAACAAATAAATTTTAATTACACCATCTAAGTTATCAGCCCTAAGTCTGAATAATGTGTGAATAAAATTTGTATTCATTATAATTTTTATTTGTGTAGAAATTAACATATAATTATTTATTAAAGATGCATTTTTTTCATGCAAGAACTCATGTATGCATACCTAGGGGTAATATTTATCTGCTATATCTCGTGTGGGAACTTACATTCACCCATCCAACTTGTGTCCGATCAAAGGGATACTTCTTATTTATACTAATAATTGTTTCGATTTCTTATCGAAACTTTTTTTAAACAAGTAATAAAAACACACAACTTAAGCTAAAGCTGAGTAGTATACTAAATAGTTAAAAATTACCTTCATATCAACTTGCTAACTTAATAAATTAATTAAATTCTAAAACCACATTCTTAATAAACTTGGAAATGTAATAAAACTATAAATTATTTTGACTTAACGCCAAACTATTTAAAAAAATATATAAAGCTATTATTCAGTATAACTGTAGCCTGTAATACTATAATAGTGATCCACTAACAAAATGCAATCATGATACAAAAACTTTTCACAAAACATATATTTTTTTAATTTCTATTTTTGAATTATTATTTTGCGTGCTCCTATCAAAATATTACTTAATTGTATGATGAAATTCGTTGTAAAATTAGTAATAAAAACTTTAAGATATCATTATTGTATAGTTATAAATTATAATCAATATTTAAAATGTTTTATTTAAATTTACCTGTCATTAGTTTTGCTATTGTTATCTTAAACGTTAAAAAGAAATAAAGTTTAGTTTAAAAATAGTTATACAATCGAAAGATTTGATTTTAATGCGAGTTCAAAATGAATATAGTATTACTAATAATAAATTATTTAAATACATCATACACAGTTTTATTACTTGAATCATTAAGTCAATCTATTTTTATAGATTTACATAACGTTATGATATTTTAAAAATGGTAGTATCTAAATTCGTAACCTTTTCCCAACTTGGTTTGGAGAAAATAACTAAAAATCAAGCCTTTATTATTTTTTATAAATTTAAAAAAATTACCAAGATTTCTAAGCTTTAACACAGCCAATAAAAACATTAATAAAACAGTGTCTTGTGAAAGAGTAAAAATTGCATTAATCATTTAAGTCTTACCTGAATCATGGCAGTGGTCGTTCAAGTGGGTCCGGAAAAACGACCGGTTTCCGAACGTCTCTTTACATTTTCTACCTGAGCATTTGTAAAGGCTTACATGATTATCCGTGGTGGTCATTTTGTCGTAAATCCATTTAGACTTAACTTCGTCTGACAACATGTCTTTTAGATTCCGGAAATATTCTTTTCTATAACTAGTGTTCACAAAATGATAGGACATACCATCAACCGGTATACCATTGTTAACGATGTGTTGTCCCGGTTTGAGATGTACGTCGTATTTTGACTCTACGATATCTCTTTTTATTTTTATTTCCTTCCACTTGCTAAACGAAATATGATCTGTGCTTTGAGTACTTGTATTAATATTTTTGGTTTCAATAATGTCTATGACGTTCTAAATTCATAAGAAAAAAATAAATATCGTAAATATTAAAAACATAAAAAATGTCGATCTTTAAAAAATAAGTTTTTGAGTTAGATCAATGTAATTATTTACATCTAATGAATTTCTAGTGTCGACAACCGGATGACTTAAATTTGGTTGAATTCCAATGTTACAATCTTGCGATATTTTTTCTGGCTCTGTTAAATAAATTCATATACAAAACATAGAAACTTAATGAATTAATATTTTAAGTATAGTAAAGTGGGTACTATTATACATCTAAAAGTATGACTATCCCAAACATTTTTGACAAAAATTACTACAGTAAAACCTGTGTAATATGGAACCTGAATAACGTGGAAACCTGACTTTTATGGAAAAATGTTACGGTCCCGGCAAACCTAATGTATTTTTAAATACATCGTTCCCTGAATAAGATGGAACCTGTTTAACGTGAAAATGGAAACGATATTTTGTCATGCACCTGTATATCATAGAAATAATATGTACATATATTTTAAAATTATCAGTTATTCGTTGCAATAAGTTTATTTTATCGATAAGTATCATAGGCCGTAGTAGTGTTATGTCGCAGACTGAGTATAGACATATATACAATATGACATCCAAAAATAACAATTTAACACTAAATGAAAAAATTAAACTAATTGAGTCAAGTGAAAAAGATAAATTAATAGTAAAACAAATTTGTGAACTTTTCAAGTGTGGAAAAAGTCAAGTGTATAATTATATTAAAGCAAAAAAATGAAATAAAAGAACAATGGATGAATGGTGTGTAATAAGCTTAACTATACAAATGTACATTAGATGAATTTTGGAGTATATAATAGTGTATAGTGTATAATGTAGAATAAAAAGTAGTTAAAATGCTATAATAATTAATATATAAAATACATGTAATAAAGATCTATAGGGAATTTTTTTTTTTTTACAACCTGTATTAAATGGAAACCTGTCTAAAATGGAAAAATTATCTGGTCATGATATTTATTTAAAAATAAATATAATACAAACAAATACTTATTAATTATAAATTTGTTGTTATACAAGTGTAATTATTTACAAGCAGTATAGATACAATATTAATATCTAATATAAACTTTAAATTTAAATTATTATGTGCTATATATATTTTTTAAATAAGTATTATATGTATTAATATAAGTATTTAAGATACAAGTTGACCTGCAATAAATTAAAATATTACCCACAATACATTTAAAATTGAACTTACCAAGATCATTATCAAATGGTTGTTTTACAATGTTATCTCTTGTAGATCTTGATAAGGAAATTTCGTCGTCTTTACAAAGTAAATGGTTATGGTGATTTT